AAAAGTAAAAGAAAATGTTTTATTTCATTCTATAAAAACAACTTTTATATTATGTTTTTTAATAACAAAAATTGTGATATTTTTAAAAAATTTCATTAAACTCAGAGGATTTTTGATTAAATCTCACATATTTTAAGAGAAACAAAACCACATATTTAATGAGTGTTGTCTCTCCTCACTTTCTCTAAACCCTACATACGTGTCAAGCTGCGCCCATCTAAGGGTCAACACTTTGATGCTATACTCATTTGTACTCTTTGGAGAGCCAAAAACATGTACAAGAAGTTGTTGATGCAAGTGCAAGCCAAGGCCCAAGGCATGGTGCAAGACAGCCCAAGGCATGCAATGAAGCAGCCCAGCCACAACAAGCCACAGACTTGTCTACTCAACAACAACTTTATGCCAATTTTTAGAGGGCCAAATGTAATTTTTTTTGCCTTGTAAATTTTTATGTAAATACCTTAGTATTAAAGGTGTTTTGGGTCCAAGTATTGTAATTTTTCTCTTTTTGTAAAATTTTTAAAAATCTATTATAATTCCTTAAACATAGTGGATGTTTCTTCTTACCAGTTAGGAAATGACTTAACAAACTATATTAAGGAGGGGTATCTAAGTGTTGAACCAGACTATTCATACCTTTAAAGTACTCCAATCTAGCTTATGGTAAGATAACTTTTGTAGCACTTTTGGTACATTATTCAACTATTGTAATGTCTTCGTTTGATCAATGAAAAGTTTATTTCGCCTTTACATTGTGCAAAATTTTTCTAATATTGCTTACTTTAATTTTTACTTATTACTTACTATTTTGTGACTTGTCTCAAACCTTATAACTCATTAATTTAACTAATATTATATTTGCTTGTATTTACAAACCTTTTAAACTTTATTAACGAGCCAGTGAATAGAGTGTATACACACTTGCATATTTTTGTCGAGGCTTCCGCATACGCCAAGAAACCTTCCCTGTTTCTCTCATTCCTTCTCCAAACTAGGAGTGGCAACGGGGCGGGGTGGGGCCGGGGATCACACTCCTCGTCCCCGATCCCCGATGGTGAACATGGCCCCGTCCTCGGCTCCGATCCCCGACGGGGAACCTTTCTCTCTCCCCACCCCCGCCCCCGATCGGGGATCGGGTTTCCCAGATCTCGAAAATTCCCCGCCTAAATTTGTTTCAACATCAACATTACATACATTTTCAACAACATACAGAAAGATCAACAACACCAAGAGACTAAAGTGAGAGAGAGATGGACAATCAACAACATCACATACATTTTCAACCAAATCAACAACGTACAGAATAAAAAAAAATAAAAAAATAAAATGATAGAAAGATCTGAGAGAGAGAGAGAGAGAGAGAGAGGGAGAAACTAGATCTGGTGGAGTTCATAGAGGAGGACGATCGGTGGCGATGGACGATCTGAGAGCATTATCAGCGTCGTGATGGGTGGCTGTGGCTGACTGTGTCGCGACAGTGGCGATGGACGACGGAAGGACTCCTCCGGCGTCGTGGACAGTGATGATCGACGTCATGAACTCCACCAGATCTAGTTTCGTTACAGTGATGATCGACGATCGACGTGGTGATCGATGATCGACCTCGAGAGAGAGTAGAGGGAAGAGAGAGAGAGAGAGACAGAACTGGAGAGGATGAGATGAGGGTTTGGTTTGGTTAGGTCATAGTGTGTGTATATATATATCTAGGGGTAAATTGATAATTTCATTTCGGGAACAAACCGGGCCGGGGAACGGGGATGGGGCCAGGCCGGGTACGGTGCTGGGACGCTTATCCCCGTCCCCAGCCTGAATCTGTTCGGAGATTGAATTTTAAATACCATCCTCATCCTGTCAAGAGTATTTTTCGAAAAAAAAACCCACACAATTCAGAGCAGAGAGGTCGAGTCCCGACCGGGTCAGTTTCAAATTGCCATCTCTACTCCAAACCCATCATTCTCCAGGCCTGCCTCCTCTCTCCCCCTCCCCCTCCAAATCCCACAAGTTTATTCCCATTTTCACCTTCCCCATTATCTCCAATTCCCAAAAACCCACTCTCCACCGCCCTCTCCAATCCCAAACCCACCCCCACCGGAACCACCAAAACCTTCGTCTCCTGCTACGCCCCCCTCCGCCCTCCCCGGCGTCTGCATCACCACCAACCTCGTCAGCGGCCTCGCCGATGCTCTGCTTGACAGCGTCCTCATTGTCGCCATCACTGGCCAAGTCCCGAGGCGAATGATCGGCACTGACGCTTTTCAAGAAACCCCAATTGTTGAGGTAACTCGGTCAATCACTAAGCACAATTACCTTGTTCTAGATGTAGAATAAATTCCTAGTATCGTTCGTGAATGTTTTTTGATTGATATTCCGAAGAAGGATATTCAGCATCAATTGGTTGTTCCCAATCCATGAGATTGCCTGGTTACATGTCTAGATTGACTAAACCACCAATTGAAGCCCATTTGGAACAGATTGTTAGGTTGATTTCGGAGTCTAAGAAACCGATTTTTTATGTGGGTCGTGGGTGTTTGAATTCGAGTGAGGAGTTGTGTAGATTCGTGGAACCTACGTTACGGGTATTCCTGTTGCAAGTACTTTGATGGGTCTTGGATCGTACCCATGTTCGGATGAATTGTCTTTGCCAATGCTTGGAATGCATGGTACTGTTTATGCGAATTTCGCTGTGGATAGGAGTGATTTGTTGTTTGCTTTGGCTTTCCGGTTTGATGACCATGTGACTGGAAAGCTCGAAGCTTTTGCTAGCCAAGCTAAGATTGTTCACATTGATATTGATTCGGCTGAGATAGGGAAGAACAAGCAACCCCATGTGTCGGTTTACGCGGATGTGAAGTTGGCTCTGAGATGTCTTAATGAGGTTTTGGAGGCAAAAAGAGATGACCTTAAGCTTGAATTTTCAGCTTGGAGGGAGGAACTAAAGGAGCAAAAAATGAAGTACCCGTTGTGTTATCAGACTTTTGGCGATGCCATTCCACCACAGCATGCGATTCAAGTTCTTGACAAGTTGACTAATGGGAATGCGATTATAAGTACGGGTGTTGGACAACATCAAATGTGGGCTGCTCAATTTTATGCGTACAATAAGCCGAGGCAGTGGCTGACCTCTGGTGGATTGGGGGCTATGGGTTTTGGATTGCTGCTGCAATTGGAGACGCTGTTGCAAGACCCAATGCTGTTGTTGTGGACATCAATGGTGATGGAAGTTTTATCATGCATGTCCAAGAATTGGCTACAATCCGGGTGGAGAATCTTCCCCTTAAGATAATGTTACTGAATAATCAGCATTTGGGTATGGTTGTTCAATGGGAGGGCCGATTTTATAAGTCTAATCGGGCTCACACATATTTTGAGTAACCCTTCAAACGAGTCTCAGATTTTTCCGAATACGTTGAAGTTTGCAGAAGCTTGTGAGATACCTGCTGCTCACGTGATGAAGAAGGGAGATCTTAGGGCTGCAATTCAGAAGATGTTGGATACCCCGGGGCCGTACTTATTGGATGTTGTCGTACCACATCAAGAGCATGTTATGATCCCCAGTGTTGGGGCCTTCAAAGATGTGATCACAGAGGGGGATGGGAGATCCACGTATTGATCACCTAGAGCAATGAATCTCATTCTGGGCAATGTATGTAGCAACTCTAGGCCTAGCAAAAAGGTGTGGCTTTGTTTCTTATGCTGAATAAAGTTACTATTTTATAGTTTTGTTTGTTTATTGTATTCTAATGGTCTTTTTTCAAAAAAAGCTAAAGTTGGTTAGTTGTGTTGATACTATCTGGCTCTTTTATTTTTAAACAGAATCTTATAGCCACTTTTTTGGAGTATTTTGGATATGGTGAACTGCGTTTGACAAATTTAGGTTCGTTCTTTGGTCTTTGTTTCTCAATATGAGACTACTACGGATTTGAGTGAATATTTTAGTAGTTTCCTTCCAGCTGTAGTTGTTTTATTCCTGGCTCACAGTAGCTAGCTCTTTCTCTACATGTGTGTATCAATCACTCCTCCACGAGTTAGATTCTTTTGGAAGAGGTTTTAACTGCTAAACTCAGGCGGTGAAATTTCACTATTTATTCTTTGTACAATAAAATTTAATTGTATATTTATTCAGAATTTCGAACAATTACCATTAATGTTTCTACCGGTGATGGTAAGGGTTTTGGTGATGTTGGTGAAGTTTTTGTGTTAATATAGATTTATGTGATTTTAAAATTTCACATGGCCACAAATTAGTGCATTTTCGTTCAATTGGGATTTAAAATTCTTTTTACTTCTTGTATTTTTCCAAGATAACAGAGATTTTATTTCATTTTCATTTTGAATTTCGCAGTTTATTTGTTAGACTCAAACAGTGAATTTTCATTGTGTTCGCTATTAGGGTGTTGGACAGTAAAATTTTATTATATTTGTTCTATATAATTTCTTGTTGTATAATTTTGGACAAGAAGATTAAAAAATGACCCAATTTTATTAACAAAAACATTTAGATAAAGAGTTGTGATATTTTAAAGTTTTGAAACAATTTTGAAAAGGAAGTTACATGTTGTGCCCTTCCGCATTAGACTTGAATTGTGTTACAACAGTTTAGGGGTAATTTTGTTATTGAATTTCCTTTTTAATTGCTGAGGGACATTCTATGTAAAACTTTTGTTCAATAAATTTCCACTGTTCGGTGGCTATGGCCCAAATTCCCTTTTACTTTTTGTGAGCTAGCTCTGCAAGTGGTGAATGTGTATGGCAGTTAGAAATTAGGCATGAAAACGATTAGGAAGACTTGAACCGCAGATAGCATATTATAGCCATTGATCTTTTCTGTTAGGGTATGGGTCCAAGTAATCCAACCTTTGTGAAGGGTACGCCTCACATGGACTCCAAGAACTTACTTAAAAGACACTATCTGGTCGACAAGGTCAACCACACAGGGCCTTAAAATCAAAGCCGAAACTCTCTTTTAACACCAATTGATTTTAGGAGAGACTGGTAGCAAAGCACACAAAGATCCAAAATTGTCATTCAGATAGTGAAGGATCCAAAGATAAGATGAATTAGTAATTCCAGTTTCAAACTTCACAGTGCAAAAATGTATAGATTTTGCATTCCAGTTTCAAACTTTATACTGGAAAAACATGTATAGATTTTGCTTCATCATTTAAAACAGATTATATATTTTCATAAAATCTCTCTTACTCTTGTGCCTGAGGCGACACCGTCGTCTTATCGAACGATTTTCTCCTCACTAGGAGGCAGGTGATCTTTGAAGGATGAGCATGTGTATTGTCAGGACTGCACAACACGAAGTCCGGCCTATGAAGCGCAAGGTTCAACTGATCCTCTCCCACCACCAATGCGGTGGCGTCAAGCAGAACATGCCATGCGTTCCTGTGAGCTTCCGAAACCCAATGCATTGAGTAACGTGTACCGTTCACATCGACCGGGTAAGAAAACAACCCTTTAGGGCTATGCTTACATTTCCTCCTGAAATACTGACTCAGTTGTGACCCTTTGATCCGCAGATCTAACCAAGTTTCTGGTGCCACAACCACTTTCGATTCCTTGTAAGTTGCGAATTCTCTGATGTAATCTCCTTCTTCTCCGATGACGGTCATGTAGAAGTTTCCTCTGAAGAAAGGGTAGCTCTCTCCTACCAACATCATGGCATCTTTGTAGTTTGGAGTGAAGAGAACAAGGTACTCTTCATCAGGCAATCCACAGTGCTTCAAAACTTTGTTCCGGGCTTGGATTTCTGGTATGGAGATGAAACTCCCCGGAAACGACGATTTCTTGGTGAGAATATCAAGCAATCTTGATGGCTCCAACTGGGTTTTGTCTAGGTCAGGGAGATTGTTTCCGAATGAGGGTGGGGACGACTCTCGGAGACTGCACCGGGGCGACTTCCGTTTGTCATCGAGTAGAAGATTGGATGGCTCTTCTTTGATGCACAGATTGTAGAGGTCAGTCTTCTCTCCTCCTTCAACTAGAGCATTGGAGTACTCTGGGTACTTGGCTAGGACATATTGTTCAACATATTGCATTTCAGTTGGTGTGATTGGGCCTGACCATCTTAGGTCAAGACCATGGAGTGTCGATATGGCTTCTGCTATTATGTGGGCAGGAATCACTGTATGTGCTTTCTGTTTTTGCAACATATTATTATCATAATTAGAACTCAATACTAAAAAGAAAAGCAAATAGAAAAGGACGGTCTTTGTGCACAAGACTGTTGAAACACGAGAGAAAAGAGAGGATGAATCAAAAAATAGTTGCTATGCCAAAACTAGGTGCAAAGAACCAACCAGATTGACCTAGTGGATAAATCAGGAATACAGAAACAAAAATAGCAACCTTTGGGGTCTCGTTGGCTACTGATTCAAGGCGCCAATTGAGAAAGTCAGTAGCCACCGATTGAGAAAGTCATGAAGGGACGTTAAATGTAATTCTAGAAAGGCATTACCACAACATAAAAACCGAGTTTTGGTGGTTCAAGTGAAAGTTTATTAGACTAGTCCTACTAAGATGGTGGGGAAACTTGTTTATCAAAAAAAAAAAAAAAAAAAAAAAGAAAAAAAAAAAAAAAAAAAAGATGGTGAGGAAACTTACTTCCGATTTAAAGAAAGTGAGTTCAACGAGTGAAGTGAGCAGCAAGAGATCGGTAGTAGAAGGTAAGGAATTAGAGGCTCAAAAGAGATATTAGAAGCAAAACTCGGCACGGAGCAATAGGCGTCACCTGGGGCAGCACGACTTGGGCAGACTTCTACCCGAGCTTGTGCCTATTTCGCTCAGGGAAGAGGTCAGATGTAAGAACCAGCATGAATGGGAGTAATTTAACTATAAGAGAGTGTTATTGATCTCCATGTAACTAAAAAATATAGGCATTTGTGGGTTCAATTTAAAACAAAGAAAAGATAAAGGGTCCCAAAACAAGGAAAAGCCCTTTCAATTGTCTCAATAATGGGATCCGAATAGAAAGTCCAAATAGATTGTAAACGAGACAAATAAAAAAGGAAGGGGTTTAAAGACCGCTCAAAAAATGAAATGCCCAAAGATTTTCCTTTGACCTATTTGAATTTGAAATAAATAAAAAATATTCAGGAGGAATCCATGAAAAAAGGCAGTCTCAGTGCACAAGACTCCCACCACTGTGGGATCTGAAGTCTTAGTGCACGAGACTCCTGCTACTGCAGAGCCGGGAGTGTCAGATGTATGATATGAAAAAATAAAATAAAATTGAGGAATCCATGGAAAATAGAGATTTGATTTGAAGTTTACCTTGAAGACCATGCTGCTTGGTCTGCCATTTTGGGTTGGTGACTTGGGATTGGAAGCGAACAAGGACTTTCGCATATCACCTTCCACTGTGGCCTGTGAGTTGTTGTCAAATATTATTTACAGACTTGTCAAGATTTTGGCATAGAAATGTTAAGGCTGTGTTTGGATGTTAGATTTTTGGAGAGAAAAGAAAAATAAAGGGAAAATAAGTAGAAACTTCTTAGCTTCTATTCCATTTCTCTTTTCTCATTCCTTTTATTTTTCAACAAATTCAAGATTCAAACACAACTTAAGAAAAGAACTTTACTGATAAAAATGCAGACTCGTGTCTTGGATTGTGAGTTCTTACCTTAGAAAAGATAAATAAAGTAGAATTCCTTTTATTTTTCACAAATTCAGACCTTAGAAAACAGAAATGTGGTAGAAGCTATGAATTATATAATTTTTCTCCTCTATTTTTTTTCCCTTGACAAAATTTAAGATCCGAACACAGCAAAACAGAGACTCATGTCTTGAATTACGAGTTCTTACCTTAGATCCTCTATGCAGTTTGATCTGTTCCTCAGGGTTCCTCCCCATCATGTCTATGATTTTCTCTTCTCGCAAACAGAAAGATGAAAAATTTGTGTGAATAACCAAAATCCAGGAAAGAAGAGACAAATAAGGGGAGAAAAACCAGAGGTGTATGCCAACAAAAGGCAAGCCAAACTTTCCCCTGAGCTGTCTCTTGTTGCAAATCAAGCTGAATTGAAGGCTAATTTCATTTATCTTTCTTGTTGCAGGACTGAATGTGAATTGAAGTATAATTAAAGAGATTGAAAGAAGCTGCTGAGAAGAAGAAACCGGGGACCAAACCTGATTTCACAGAAAGGTTTTCTTTGTTGCTGTTTGGGATCTGAATTGGGGGTATTAAAGAAAAACAGAGTACTTTGAAGGAAGACAAGTACAGTGACAATGACAACAGCATTATAGAAGTGTTCTACAACTGGGAATGACGAAATTGTGAGTTCTGTTTCATCCTATAATATACCCAAGGTCGGTTGGTTTAGAAGTTTAGGTTATTCTTCATTGAGCTTACTCTCTGAGTCATTGAGTTTTGAGACTCGGAAAAGGAATAACAAGAAATTATCTAGTATGTCTGTCTTATCTCTGTCGTGTGTCCACTTACTATTGGGAAGGACACTGCTTGTGTTATACGTCAGACCTACTAAGGTCAAGTTTGGCATGATTGAAAAAAGACAAAAAGTCAAAAAGTCATTATCCTATTTAAGTTACATCATCTTATTTAAGTCACATCACCTCTCTAACACATCACTTCAAACCCAACCCAAACCCAATCCATATTTTATAAAAAGTCAAAAAGTGCACTTATTTAGTATTCCCAAACTAGGCCTAAATAATTTCTCGAGATCATGTTTAATTGTGTTTTTATTTCTTTTTTCTTTCTTGTTTTTCAAAAACAAAACAATAAAAAGTCAAAACACTTGCTGTTTTTATTTTTGCATGAAAATATTTTTTGAAAATTTGAAAAGTTTTTTTCGTTTCTTAAAGCTGTTTTTATTTATTTATTTTTATAAAAGAAAATTCTGGATTTTCGACAAATAAGTTTTTTGTGTTTGCTAGAAAAGAAAAGGACAATCAGATAGGCTCCAAACTTTGAAAATAATTCTATGAAGTCCAAAAAAGTCATCGGAAAAGTGACTATAAAATAAGCGTCAATTAGATTTATGCATTAAGTTTGAATTTATATCATATATTTTATTTTTTTGGCCATTTTTCAGATAATTTCTCAGAATCCCTTAGCTATTTTTCTCCAAGCTTTGGTGGTGGTTCAAATGTGAGTTACTGTTACAGTTGTTCTGAGTCTTGAACTGAGTCAGGATTTGAACTCAGTGAGGCACACACCTAGTTTCCTTTGAGTTTGGGCATTAGACTACCCTAATAATAAACCATTAAATTTAGGGTTTGTGAAATAATTTAAGCTTTGTTTCGATAAATTATTATGTATCAACAAGCCAGAAATTATATTTTATTTGGAGATTAACGTCACCTGGTGGATTTAAAAATTTGAATGAGAGTGATCGTTTGAGAGCTCCAACAAGAGGTTGGGTGGGACCCATTTGTTGTCATTTTATTTATCAATTTTATTTTTTTTGTTAGTGATTGCAAATTTTTGGGCTCCTAAGCTATCATTAAAGGCGACTATCTAAGTTAGGTTAGGTTTTATTTTGATTATATATACAAACTTTTTAAAGTGACGCATGAACGGATATCATTTAGGGGTGTTTTGAAAAGTTGGTAAAAAGTTAATTTTTTTAATTTATTTTGTCTTTTTATGGGTAAGTTATGTGAAAGGTGATGTGACTCAAAATTGATAAAAAGTTAGAAGTTGACTTTTTACCAATTTCTCAAAAGAGCACTCAGAGTGTTTCAATAGTTTAGCTTGTTGGGTTGGATTTAATTGTGTGTTCTTGATCTTAGTTAGTTTAGTTGGGCACTGTAAACTGGATTAAGGTCAAGTTTGGCATCTCTCCAAAAAGTCAAAAAGTTATTCAAAAAGTTATTCAAAAAGTTAAAAAGTTATTACTATTTACCAAAAAAAATATTAAAAAATTAATTTTTCACACAAAAGTACAACTCAGCAATTCAGCTCTGTGCTGTGTTTGTTAAGAAACATTGCACAGTTTGGGTGTAAACACTGATGTTCGGCCTATGGGGGCCTATTACGAGTCCCGTTTTGAAAATCTGAACTGTTCAATGTGTAAAACTCGTTGAGTACTGTATGTTTGTAAAAAATCACATTAATTGATATCAATAATTACATGATTAAATCAGTTTTGTACAAAAAAGTAGATGGTGTTATAATTAACGATTGAAAAAAAAAACAAATCTGATCAAATAGTTATCAATATCTGATCAATGTGATTTTTTATAGGCATATAGTACTCGACGAGTTCTACACATTAACGGTTTAGATTATCAAAATGAGACCCGTGATGGGCCCCACGGGCCGAACAAAACCCTCCAGTGTAATGCCCGCAAAATAGCCAATAATTTATTACCATCAACTTGGTTGTGCAGATTGTACGGTTGTACAACACACATCTCTAATTTTTTTCTACACACTTCTTTATACAATTTTTTAATACACATTTTTTTAATAAAAAGTCAAAAAGTTAATACAAATATTTATATTTTTTTCTTCAACTTTTTAGTCTTAAAAGATAAAAAAGTACACTTATTTAGAATATCCCAAATAATCCCTAATTATTATTAGGCTCGACTTTTAGGGCACATAGACTTGGTTAATGGGCTTCGAACATCTAGAAAGATGCATTCAGTGTTGTACACAAACAATAGGTTGTGTGTTTGAACTCATGTTAGTACTGTTCAAATGAGAATGTGTTTTTTGTGGTAGTTGATTTTCAAAATATGAACCATTCAAATGCTCGAACCATTCCTTGGCAGAACTGTTTGAAATTGAGTTTTGTTTAAGAAACACAAGCATGGTGTTGTCGCAGATTGAACGCGGTGATTACCCATTCAAACGTTCGTGAGAGATATATAAAATATGTTTCGTGCAACTTATTGTAAGTTAGAAATTGATAATCAAAAAATAAAATTTAAAAGCACAATTTTCTAAACTCTCAGGTAATTAGTTTTTTAAAATTTACTTAAACCATTTATGTTTAATATATTAATAAATTATAAATAACTCATACAAGTTGTATCAACTAATCCCGTAGTCTTCTTTAGAGAGATTTTCACATGGTTCATATTCTTCTTTTATAGTCTTGAGAGAGTGTATGCAAAGATCTAAGTGATCTTTTGTGAGTTCTAAATCTTGTAGGTGTGTTCGAATTGATTCCTTTGGGTAGTTTTGTATCCGTACAAATTTAGCATGCGTCTATTGATCGAGCTCTACAAAATCAACAGTTTGAATTATTGAAACGAGTCCAAAATGAATCCATAATGGATCGGATTCAATTGTCTAGTCAAATATTCCAATGGAAGAAAATCCAATTCCTTATTTTTGACAAGTGGACTAGTGAGTTATGGTTTGTTACCTTGATTTGGGACATGTTTGAAACAGTTTATCGTAAGCAAGTATGCACTGAGAGGGGGCAAGAGGGGGTGAGCACCCTTACCATTTCAAAAACACTATTTGTTATAGTAGTATTAGTTATAATTATTTACATATCATAGAGACTTGTCCCCTTTATGTTTCTCTTCTTTTAGAAAAATATGAAATATAGGATCAAAATATAATATTAAAAAAATAGACAAAAAAAATATAAAAAAAAAATCTTTGTTATAACTATTGTTAATTACAAGTCTAAGTTTTTAAAGAATTGAATAAGGTATTAGCTAATTACTTAATCACATTCACTGAGAAAGACATTGTACAAAATTTGAATATCGATTCTATCATAGACATTTTTTTATGACATGAACTAATATCAAGCACAACAATTCAAGATCTCTCACTTTAATATATAGATTGTTTTATAGTTGCTATTTTTTGTAACTAAATATGGATACAAAAAACATGCTATTTATCTATATATATAGATATATTTTCATCTTACTTTCACTTTTTAAATTAGTAAAAATTGATACTACAATTCATACTTTCTTTTTAAAAAATTTGGTAGTATATATGTTCGCCTCCAATATGAAAATCCTGGGTCTATCCTGATTGTAAATTAAAAACTTATAATCAAAAGTAGAAATTAAAAACAATATTCTTTCAACTTTTAAATGATCAAATTTTTTTATTTATAAAAAAAACTTATTTAAATTATTTTTAACTAAGAAGTTATAATCAGAATTTATACCAATCAATAGATCTTTAGAATAAAATAAAAAAAATTAAGCAGCCAAATAAATTACCAAGCAGCGCCTTTGATTTCTCTTATTATAGTTTATTATGATTCATGCTTTATATTTTTTAATTGGAAAGTTTGATTAATCACTTGAATCTCCTATCAGTTTAATTGCAAAATAATAGAGGCTCTTTCTACCTACTTTGACTTGAAAACACTAATTTTCAAACCCTATAGTTGATTTTAAAAAATAATTAATATATCCAAATTGATATATTTTGTAATTGTTTTTGAAAGTTCTGTTCTCCATATTCTTGACTTTTTGCGCCACCCTTTTGTGTATTTGATTCTTGAGTACTAAAAATAATATTTTGTATAAACTAAATTATACATTATGGTAAAAATCATATTATTTTGTGTTCTGTTATATTATCAAATGTTACAAACCATTAAATATTAAAAGTGATAGGTTTTAAAAAGTAAAAGTGGAAAAAAAATATGATAAAACATTGTTAATAAATAGCTGATACATTTAGCATTATTGATTTTTAAAAATTATCTAAGGATTTTTACGAAATAAGATAATTGTAGAAAAATAGTATCATATTATATTGTGAAAGTAAGTTTTGTACTTTTATCACTTTGTAATTATTTTGTATTGATATTTTTTTTTATGATTATCCCTCATTAATTTGGAATACTTAATAAATATATTGTCTTTTTAGAAGTCATCCAGAAACATTTTCTTCGAGTTCGATACAAACAATGGAGAGAGAGAGAGAGAGAGAGAGAGAGAGAGAGAGAGTATGCCGTTTGGATATGCCATGCACAAGAGATTTACATATGGACAAGGACCACAAGGTCAAATGAATGAAAATATTAAAATATGCAATTGTTTTTATAACTTTTTTATAAGAGTTGTGCTACGATGCTTGAAAGAGAGTTTTTTCAAATCTCCCGAATTCAAAACGACGTCGTTTCGTCGTTTTGATTTTTTTTTTTTTTCAATCAGAAAAGAAGAGGAGGAAGAAGAAGAGAAGAAGAAGAAGAAAGAGTAGCAGAGAAGAAGAAGAAAGA